AAGTTGGATCGGATCTCCGAGCACGAGGACGACCGCCGTGATAGCGTTTGGCTACGCTGGTATACGCTACCCTGTTCTCATCGTTCAGCAAGCTGGGACAAGCAACCCCGGATCTCAACATTGGCAAGTTGGACCGGATCCCTGAAGGCCTGATACTGTTCGACGGCAGCCACGAGTTGGACCATCGTCGGCTACTTTGGTTGAGTTTACTGTTCATTTCCCAACGTTTACTGTTCATTTCGCCAGACCTCTCTAGCACAGGCAGATGTTAGGAGAGCGTTTTGTTTCTGTTGGCTGTAATTTATTATTCACGTGCTCTAGACCATGAGATTAGCTTTAGAGTACGGTGAATATCAATAGCAGAGCATCACGAGAAACGAGATCGCGATGGAGCAGTACCTGGTGCAGGACCTCCTTGAAATTTGTGGAGCCATGGGGATTTCTGCCGGGTCCGCTAAAACAAGGGAAGCGATTCTCGAGGTGATGCGGGCAGAGAATGTGACGGCCGAGGAAGCTGACGAGTTTTGGGAGCTCATTTGTGAGCAAAAGCAGAAGGCCGAGGAAAGTCGCAAAAGGAGAGAGCATGCACTCAAAATGAGAGAGCTTGATCGTAAAATTCAAGCACTTAAGTGGCAGCAAGCAGAACGCCAGCTCCACAACTTTCAGACAGGCAAAAACATCGCGCATTTCCTTGATGATTTTGAAGTTGTTTGCAGTAATGTGGGTGTTAGCCGCAACCTTTGGGTGGAGAAGCTCGCCACGTTGTTGCGGCGCAAGATTGCGCATGTTTTGAATTGCTTACCCTACGAGGAAGCAAGAGACTTCAGTCATACTAGATATGCCTTGATAAGATTTTTTTTTTTTTCGAGTCCTGCTGACTGGGAAAGTCGGAGCGATAGAGACAGCGCTGAAGCGCGTCGAAGGGTGCTAAAGGTAGACGCCTGCCGAAAAGAGCGTGAGGATGAGGCGCGACGTGAAGCGATGTAGACTGAGGCCCACCACGTGGCGCTTGATGATGTCGCTCACTGGAAAGTGTTAGATGATAAGGACAGAAGCGAAGCACAAGCCGCCGAAGTGCACCTGACAGAGCCAGACGTTGAGGCGCAGCGCGAGGAGTTAGGGGCCGAGGCCCATCGCATAGCTAAGGACGCCGAGGTACATCGGAAAGCACTGGAGATGGAGCCGCTTCGCAGCACACGCGATCAGGATGAATCGCGTCAAAGAGAGCATGAGGCCAATTTCGAAGGCCAGAGAATTAGGGCTATCCACGACAGCGATAGACCCTCACAGATCAAAAGCTCTCTAGGCGTGTTGGTTGGCTTTGATGGCATCGGGAATCCCGTTCAGTTGCAAGCAGAGACAGCTAGCAACGGGCCCAAGGAAAGGCTAGCTAACCAGTCTAGAGTCTTGGCAGTGCCTGTCAAAGGCAGCGCACTTGAAATTAGGTGTGTCGAAGCAGCCCGCATTCCTAGCCTTTCCGTCAAAAGGAGGCATCGGCGAAAGCATAACACCAAAAAGACGACAGGCGCCAAGTGCGCTAAAGCCGCTATTAAGGCCCATGACGTCATCAGTCGAGACGCCAGTTTGAGGGCTAGGCGTAGGATCATGAAAGGGCCCTCTAAGAAACGTTTGAAGCTCAGACTGTCACTGAGTTCAAGATTAGGCGGGAAGCGCGCTGAGAAAAACCGACTTTCGGGAAAATTCGGACAACGAGATCTTCGCCTGGCCTCATCAATGCTGATGCCGCGTAGATGCAAGCAAGTGGGGAAACGTTGGGAGCGCTTGAGCTGTAACACAAGCGGTTGTTCCCCACCGTGGCGAAAGGGTCGCTGGTCGAAGGGGTGGCGTAAACGATGCAGTGCAGACGCCCCCTTGTTCGAGTTAAGCAGATGCAAGTCAAAAGTTGCTGCTACCGAGTTTGGCAAACAGCTTTGTTCGTTGGGCCTTTGTCAAGACCGGATCCCTCGAAAGCTATGGAGTGCGCGACTTCCCAGAGTTCGTCTGAGAGGGGCCCCGTTTTGCCATTACTATGAATGGACAATGTAATCAGCTTTGAAAATTGCTTTTTTTTGTTTGTCGTAAGCCATTCAGTAATAAATGTGTTTGAATTTTTGTGTTTTACTTTCCTTCTCATTGGAGAAGCACGCATTGGTATGTTTGTTTCATTATTTTGTTTTTCATAAAATTTAAAAAGGTAACAGTCAGTGTGTTTTAATTTAACAGAAAAGGCTGAGTAAAAGGCCTGTTTAAAATACGTTCTTTGTTTGGCATTACGTGTTGGTAAGCGTGTCAGTGTCGGTTAACATTCACTTTGTTTTGTGTAACGCACGCAAGTTTCATTCTTTCGTTCTTATTTCATTCTTATTTCATAATTTTTACTCTTATTGTCTTACTTTTCAAGCGTGTTTTATCTTGTTTTAATTATATTGGCTGCCCGCATTTGAAAAGAGAGCTTGTAGGAGGACGAACTTTGTTATGTTGACAATATGACGCTTGCAGGCAACGCCAATGTGCGTGATTCAGGATTGCTCGGCGTGTTAAATTGTAGCTTCGGTGCTAAATTGAGCAATCCTCAGAAGCTTCGATCGTCCAGAATCTGCCTAAATCACAATTGAGAAACGCTTGAAAACAAAAACAATTCTGTTTGGTTTAGCGGTGTCATGCACTGACGCTTAGCTAAAGGTGTGTCCGCATTATGTATTCCTCCCGAGATTCGTTGCTGGTGATGCTATTTGTTAGCCCAGCGTAATCTCGAGGAAACATTTGGTTACTGCTGGTCTGGCGACTTGATCAGCATTTGGAGGGTGCTTGCTTTGGTCAGAGTGGTTCGGCTTTGTGTTCGACTCCGTCATTCCAGTGAACCTCTGCAGGCCTATGGAAGTCTCAACGGGCGGAGAGAGCGGAACGGCTACCGACAGTCAACCAGCATCTCTCCTTCCGAGCCGCGCTGACGGCTCAAAACTCCGGATGTATTGTCTGGCGGAGGGGGTGCTGTTGTGCCACAGACATGTTCCTCGTCCGGGAGCACGTCTCTTGAGATCGAGCCCTGTTCCGACATCCCCCCCCCTCCCAGCGCCGCCTTCCGTGCAGAAGAACCATGCAGTTCCGGGGATAACGTCGCTTCCTCCGCCGAACCACTTTGCAGTTCCGGGTATGGCTGCATCTCCTCAGCCGAGCCACTGTGCCATTCCGGGGAACTGGTCTCGCAGAAGAGTCCCAAAACGCTATTTAAGGCCGTGCCGGCCCCATGTTAGAGGGATTTTGCCCCAGCCGACGTTGTGCTGGCCGGCTCTGTACAAACGACAACCTGCTACAGTAAACGCTACTTTTGTTGCTGTTTTCAAAACGGATTGCCTCCCTGCTTTGCCTTCGGGCTAAGGCTTCAGCGAAGTCCGCTCGACGGCTCGCCGCTCTTCGCCACCGCTACCATCGCGACAGAGCAAATTCTTAACAATGCACAGTGATAAACAGGTATCAGTATTGCAAGGCAGGCACATCACTAGTGCCGCGCATGCTCAGATGTGGCGTATTTGTGACTGTAGATGTCGCCCGTGCTATTCTGCGCACAACGCTCCGCCGTTGCAGACATGAGAGTTGAGCACTGTACGCCTGAAAGGCCTGCTTCCACCGGTCCCATGGGACAGCCGGAATGCTCATTGTGATCATGCAGCAGAAATCACCAGGAACATAGCTCTTGCATGGGTTTAAATCTCGTCACCATTATGTTGTATTTAGAACACACAAGAATGATGCATGTGATGTCTTAACATTATCATATTTATTTTGATGTCCCCACTCACTCATCCTCATCTTGTTTCCTATATACAACAGCTAATTGTCGAAATTTCAGAGCTATATCACGTGGCTGAAAAAAGAAGAGGTAAAAGTGAATTGAGAATGGTGGTGGGTAAACTGACATGCTTGGTATGCCAGAAAATGTGACGTTCGTACTGTCTGAAAACAAAAAGTTTCCTGCATGAAGACCGCCAAAAGAGATGTGGCTGCTTCAGTGGTACTTATGGGTTCACACATTAAAAAATAATTTACTTATGTGTAAAAACAACTAAATAAATTTCCACCTCAGATGTTCACAGAATCTGTATAATCACACAGATGATTTGAGCCCAGGATGACAATTTGCCCTATTCGCTTATTTTAGGCTGTCATATCCACTAACATTCACATGAATGCACAAGTCACTTTTCAATTCCTACACCCCTCTCCTCAATCTAGACGAAATGAACTTTTGTTGCAGGGCTGTTCATTAAGATTGATAAATTTCACAGTGGGGTTTCAAACAGTGAAGCATGCGCTGGACACACCTTTGTACCAAAGCGATAGTTTGTCGACAAACAGAACTTTTAATGTTTCTTTCTAATTTGACGTTTTCGTACGGCTGTCAGTGCTTGTCTGAGGTGTAGCCTTCGCTTACTGCAGATGACTTTTTTTGTTTTTTTTTTCGAATTTACATCAGGACATGCATTTGTGCAGAACTCATTCGTTATACGTAGACATTATTTATGTTGCCAACATAATGAGAATGTAAGCGGGGCTACGGTGATCTCGGAAGCTCGAAGAAAAGGGGGGGAGAGAATGAGAGAACCTTTACATAAGGCACCAGTTCTCTCTTCCGTCATGTCAACTGTTGACGCTATGCCCACTATCGGGCGGAATATAAATATTTACAGAACGTAAACGAGCGAAAACGGCCATCAACACAAGTTCGAACAGCCACACCACGAGTGGGATTTACTTGCCCGCATACGTCAAACACGCAGTCAAGTCGACACTGGGATCTGACGCGCAAAGACGAAAGGCGTCACAGCAGCTCCCATGAAAACCTGACGCACTACAGCCCATTTCGCGTGACAGAGTGCCAGTTGACGTTACAATAGTACACCGAGTGGCGAAAATGTTTTCTTTAGACAGGTCGCACCGTCGAAGAAGCGATCTAGTGTCTGACACGTGCTGTGTTTACACTTCACACGGGGGAATCTTACTTGAGCTTGGCGGCATCCAAAGGGTTCGGATCTGTGGCTAGAAGGTTCCCGATGTCGAACTCGAGATCCAAGTCCTTAACGACGTCTACGGGCTTGTAGGAGGCCTCTTTTTCGGCAACCTCCAGCAATATTTGCTGCGCTAAGGCGGCCATGATGCAAAAAAAAACGTTGTCGATGTCGTTGCTCTTGTTGCATTTGAAGCGAAACCACGAATCGCAATTAATTTACAGGCGTAGTTAATATTGTATTAAATGTAGTAATTTTTTTTATTGCTTGTGTTACAATTGCAGTGTTAAAACGCATAACTATTGACACTTTTAGGTTAAACTTAAAAAATACCCGTCCAAAAACGTGACAAAAAACTGCGTAAGTTGACTTTTTGTTGCAGAAGTTTCTAATAAAGTTTATTTAATTATTATAATTACGCACTAGTTGTCGTAAAAGATTAGTGAACAGAAAAAGAATTTCTGTAGTTTTTGTAGCAACCAGCAGAGTGCGTTAAGTCGTACGTAAAGTTATCTCCATCGCTAGCTTTTGCAGCGCACTCTGTTCAGCCAGCGCCTCCTCTATTTTTTTTATGCCTGTTGCGACCCGCCTGTTCCCATTGCTCTACAACTGGCGCTCTATTTCGCCGAGTGGCCGCGTAGAAGCATTGAGTTACTACCCTCTCGCGTGGCCTCTCTTAGATTGACTGATATATGTGTGGATGCGGCGCAGCCACTGGCTTTTTCCAATTTTATGCGATTACTTTCCTTCGTATTCAGTAATTTCGCATTCGTGCGTTCGTTTTGGTAACGTATTACGAAAGAACGCGTCGTAAAGTGTCTCATTCTTTGTTTGCAAGTGCTCGAAGGTGTGCCCTATCGAATAATTGAAAGAAAAGTGGAATTCACAGGTTGAAATAAAGGAACAAGACATAGCAATTTTATATGCACAAAAGACAAAATAAAAAGAAATTAGTCAGTACAAGTTAAGAAACAACCGGTTGAACTAAAACCACTTGTCAGTCCAACGTTGAAGGTGCGCGCGTATCGTGCAAGCTTTTTAAAGCTTCAAAAACTTCCGTGACGACGGCTTCCTTTGATAAAGCCTGACCACAGATTTTTATCGGTGAAGTCGACAGCATAGTTGGTAAACAGCGGCTTCGTGAACTTTCTGCACACAAGTTCCATTAACTTTCGCCTTTGAATATGTTCACAACGGTCACACAGCAGTACTGGCAGGCCAACAATTACATCGGCACTCTTCACGGTGCAAGTCTGTAGAGGCTGAAGGAGAGCTGCGCAGTGCAGAAGCATCACATCCACAAATCTTTTCAGGGCATGCAGCACACGCACGAGTTCCGTAGTGGGCTGGCACAAGCCACCTATGTCCTGGTGGGAAATCAAGCCATCCGTATTACTGGTGCTGCTTCCTTTTGCTTTCAAGACTAACGACACGCAGCGCTCGCAGTTATTCTTCACTCACGACGTGAGTAACGTTCGCAAGTTCGCTTCTTTCCGAGTCTGACAACACTTGGTTGAGACAGCGCCCATGTCTATGTCTCCCAAGAATGCGTCCCGTTGTTTGTGGTATTCAAGCCTCTGCTTTATTCTCATTTCGTCTATGATGAGGCTGCAAATTTCGGCTTGCTCCATCTCGAGGCACTGGATTTCAGTGTTAAGCCTCTGCTTTACTAGCTCACTAAAGCCTAATTCTCCGGCAGTTGTTCCCACGTATCTTTGTAGCGTAGTTCTGTGCGGGAGTGCGAGGAGCTTGTTCCTGATATACTCGTATGACTTTGTTGAGAGGCTTCTCAGAATGACGCACTGTCGTATAGTGGTTTCACACCATTTTTTTTTCACCTTGTAGTTTAGGACTTGGTCCATTATCATTCTGGTTCAGGGCAGCCCTGATAGCAATCTCTGGCTACTTGAAGAAATTTGCTTACGTTGCACGCTTCCTTTAATATATGCAGCTCTTCTTGTAGGCATCTACTGTTGCTTGCAGACTTTCATTTCATTGCTTCCATGCCCTTTCTTTGTCGCTCCAAGACGGCTGTTGTGGAGCTTCTGCTGTCGGCTTGAACACCGAAGGTCCTCAAGGCACGCGCGCCTGCATACTCTTTCGCTGGCTTCGCATCAGTTGGCTCAAGAAAGTTCGCTGAATGACAGCAGTGATAGCTGCTGCTACAAAAGGCAGGTCTTGGATGTTGCTTGGAGCAACGCTTTTTGGTTGTTGCCGGCTACTGGGCTCAGTGGCTTCGTCAAGCGTGTTTGCGCGAACTTCTGGCGCCGGTGCAGGGCGCTAATCGATTTCCTGACTTGGCAGACTTGCCAACGTGTCCGTTGACGAATCGCGCTTTCTTTTCTGAGTGCTGCTGCAGCTTCTCACCTTTGGTGGCTCCTTCCTCATGTAGGATGGGTAATGCGGAAAGACACTCGGCACCACATCGGGCTTTAGCATGCGGCTTTTGGTACACCCTAAAGAAAGAGCGAGTAAAAAGGGTGTCTTTTTGTCCCACAACAATAACCATCATCTATATTGCGTTTCATCCTTGCGCTATCGCCCCGCGCCCGGTACATTCCGGTCACGATCAACATGCCCATTATCAGGGTTACATTGCATTCTCGATAGGACAGTGTCCAGCGCCGAGTTTTCAAGAAAGGAAGCGCATGCATCCTGATGACGATTATTGTTGTGGGACAAAAAGACACCCTTTTTTACTCGATATTTTTTTTAGAGTGTATTTTCCTTAATGTCAGTTTCCACAAAATGTAGGCTGCACACGGCTGAGTAATTCGAAGAGGAATTCCGCACCCAATTCCTCCACGCGATAACTCGCGTCCTGCAGGACTGAAATAGTTTTTTTTTTTTCATTTGATTCCATAACTCGTAGCAATCGTTCACGTAGCTCAGTGTTCACTGGAATTTTGTGAAAGGACACCCCTGCTTTTTTTCTTTCGCTGGCTTGAAGTGCAGAACGGAACGCAACAGCAGCGCATAGTGACCAATGAAAAAGCAGGATGACATCACCGCTGAAGCAAACAAACGGACCTACAACTGCCACTGCAACCAAACGACGGGTTATGCCAACGCCTCCTCTAGAAAGATGCCTGAGGAATGGCTCGCGCCCTCAGCGGAGTTGGCCTGCCTTCAGTTTTAAACAAGCTCCGCGCAGTGGCGCTCGCGACCGACACTATTATCACGGCGACGGGCGGTACCAGGTAGAGGTGTGCGCCGACTGGTCGGCGCGCCGCCGCCGATAGTTTTTGCCACGCCGCCGCCGCCGACGCGAACTGATCGGCGCGCCGCCGCCGCCGACGACGACGTTTTTCATCGGCGCAATCGGTGCGCCATTTATGCGCCAGTACTGACTTTTCACAGATTTGTCTTCTTTTTCATCTTGATTTATAGCTTCGTTTCACATTTTATGTAGCCAGTAAAACCAGGCTTCTTAGTTATCTTCATACAGCTTTAGAGACCGAGAGTACCACTATGAACAGCGGAACGAGTTCGGCGGCCGCTGCATGAAATAACATATTAGACAAATTGACAAAAAATAAATGTAACAGTTACAGTAAAGCATAGACACTGCCATCTTGGGCTTAAAAGCAATTTTTGCTGTTTTTTGTGTCGTAATTAGCCATGATTATGGTGAGACGACGTTGAATGTAATGGCCCAGCGTTTTGATGCGTGCGAGTTCGCCATAGCACAATTCGAATATTCATACGGATGGAAAACGGCATCATTATCAGTCCAAGATGGCAGCCTATAATTGTGCCCGAAACAGGGCGTATGTAAAGAAGAAATGAAGTGGTAGCAGTGCAGCACGAATGCAGCGCGTTATATGAAGAGAGGAGGAGGAATAAATGAGGAAGGACAGGGAGGTTAGGCGTTAGATGAAGAACTACACAAAACCCCGATGGATGAAATCGAAAGGGAGAAGTTTAATGAAGATTAAAAGCGTCGAGGCATAATACATGCTCGAAGCTACTCAGGGTATATCAGCACCTGTCCGCGATGTTAAAGTTGATAATTTTCGAGGATGACAACTTATATGCAGTGTCTGAACATGCTGCAGAAAATATTCACTATCTGTTTTATTCTTTAACTTATCTGTTTGTACCAGCCTTTTAAGACATTGGATACCCGGGATGAAGATGCCAAGGCAGTAAGATGGCAAGAAAGAGAAAGGAATTCGGCTGAGATATTAACCATATCTTGGCATCCGGTTTGCTGCCTAGCACTGAGGTTTGAGAAATAGGGGCAAGAAAGGGCGTGTTGAGAGACAGAAAAGAAAACGCATGTGCATTCAGGAGTAGGATGGCAAACTTAACAGAGGATTTATTACGTTCTGTATAGACAGGGTGAGAGATCTCTTGCGAATGAGCTGGGTGGCTCACTATAAAGTGTACGTTTTGACTAAATCAGGGAATGGGTCCAGAATGCGCTGTTGAATCACGAGACACACACACCATTTCTGACGGTGCCGCTCACACTCGCTCAAGTGAAGGTCTTTGATTGGGGTGTGGCCACCACACTCCACCTGTGACACCAAGAAACCATTGTGGTCGTCTCATCGAACGTCTTATGGTGTCGGAATGCCACCCCACTTCCCGGCTAAGATGGACAGTACACGGCGGACAGCAGGCTGGCAGCCCTTCGGTGACTTGTTTGATGAACAAAGAACGCGGCCCTCCCCCGTCGGCCCAGGCGCCGCGCGTAACAACGGCTATCCAGTGGTGAGAAGAGGCGTAATAAGCTTGTCTGAGACCACCAGTTTTAAAAAGAACAAAACAAAATTTAAAAAAAAACTTGCCAGTAGACAATTTACAAAAGACGGCTGGATTCATCAAAAATGCAGAGACCGACATTTGAGCGACATGTCATATATGACATAGTTCAGCAAACTGGTTTTCATCACGTAACTTGAACGGACCTACTGGCACTGGGAGAGGTTAAGAATGATTGTCGCTGACAGATGTACTTCTGTTGCGAAGTTAATGCTCAGAGTCAACCAAATAAAAACTTAACATTATATTCAAGTCTTGATAAAAAAATAAGTCAAGTTAGAAAGCTCCTCAGGTGTCCAAATAATAATTTACTTCACCATACTTTATGAAGAAGTAATTTGCAAATAAATAATGCAACCGCTGTTTAAATGACATTCAAGGACGTGACCGCAATCAACGGTGTG